TAATCTCCAACGCCTTTGAGCAAATATGGGCTAGATCAGGGGAACTGTACTCGAGTAGCGACATCATACGTTTCATTACATCATTGGCGGTAAAGGATACGTGGCTAGGGACTGATATCAGTATAATCTGTGTAAGAAGATGTAAAATAACAGCACACCTTGGTAGCTGCAGCCAAACAGTTATCTAATAAAATTGGTCTTTTGCACTAAAACGCACGCTGTAAGTAGAGCATGCATTTCGCGTCAACTTCATTGAAGGGTGTTTTAAGGGGTTAGAATTAACTCCTATCACCAGATCCCATTGGTACTTTACTCTGTCCTCAAGGATTTGTTTCACGCAGTGGTTCCTTCGTACTTCATAGGCAGCCGAAGTTTTCCTTCTCGGAAGAGCTATGTGGGAGTTCAAGCCGACCCCCTCAAGGCCATCCATTCCCTAGTCCTGCTCCTTAGGAGCGGCTTCGTCTTTTCGTAGGGGTGCAGTTTCATTGCCGATGTGTTTGCCCCTGTTTGACATAATTCCTCCAGGTCACCCCAGGTCAAAATTTGGTGAAGAAAGACCACCTGTTGCGCCACTGATTTTAGACTGATCGGCATAGTTGGTTACAAGGTGAAATATCTGGTACTTTTCAGATATATCCTATGTAACACATATTGTGAAACAGCAGTGTCGGATGCTTACTGTGGCCCATGTGTTACTCGTTGGTGAAGAAGAGGTCAAAAATCGACCGTTTGTTTCCGATTCCGAAATTATGTTGGAGAGGTAATTTGGTTTATAGCTGAGAATGTACTATTGCCTATGACTGCTCCAGCTTGAATTGCTCATCAAAATGAGAGAGGCTTCTAGGGCGTACAACTTGGTCTCCTGCCAGCAGAACATGGCTGTAATACGGTAATAGTAGGTTCTCCATAGCGAAAGATAAAACATCGTCATTTTTAAAGGGCTCACTGACGGGCTGTACACAACATCCACTAAACATACATCATCCTCCTTCTGGTGTAGGCGTAACTGCAGCAAGTCGATAGCTTGTACCCCTGAGTCGTTAGCTCGATCGTATTGTATATCAAGATGATGGTGAAAAATTACACCACTTTCCTTAACAAGCTGATTGTTGCCCGAGAGTGAAATGCCGGATATTAAGATCTCAACCTCGGTAATCGCGTCATTCAATCATGCCTCGGCTATCATGATTCGGTTCCAAGACGCTAGGGCTTGCCTAGATCGAGGTTAGACCAATTTGTCTAAAAGACCTTGTGCGTCTGAGAGTTACGGATGTTAGAAGCGTATGTGAACACTGAAGCCTCCGACGGGATGTCCAGTAGTATGTGCGCTACACTTGATGATACGCGGAGTCCAATCGGGAACGAAAAATGGCATCTAGCCCTCATCAGGGAGATTTAGGACTACCTGTAGTAATTGGGATTCACCGCATCGTAGTGAGTTCGGGTGTTGCGCAATGCGTCAATCTAGTGGCTTCAGTCCGAATGTCGATTGATTACAAATGGAAAGCATTGGGTTGCAATCGTACGTAGCCCGCCCTCTATTATTTTGCTTTGAATTTGAGAACGTTAGTGTCCTCAATACTTAAAGCACCATGGTTCCGCCAACTGACTATCGGTTTAACAGCATTAATTTTTGTTCTTTTATTTGGCTTGATAAGTGAAACTAGTGTTGCCATCTAGGCTGCGAAACCCGTTTCCGTTTCCCAGAGAAACGAATTTACGCACGTTCTCTCGTGCGTTTGCCTGCAAACAGACGGTAGGCTGTCAGCACGTCAAATAAATGAAAAGGAAAAATCAAACCGTCACGGTTACAATTTCTATTTTAATGCCTAGTAAGATACAACACTGGTGTGCCACAATTTGACTAATGATATCAATTATCCATCGACGTTTTGCAATCAAGATCACTTTCCTTGTTCGCCTTACGTGTTGCACAAGCTGTCTGAATGTTCACCTCACTGACGGAGCTTTCCGACCAATAATCAAGGATTACGCCTTAATTAAATCAACCGATTTGGCGCGTTTCTGGTGCTGCTCTCTCTTAACGTTGTATTGCCGTATCAAAATAAACACTGCTTGTAATTGTTGTGTGTCTAACTACTAGCACACGGCTTGCGCTCCAGTTCCCAGTAGTACAAACCGGTTGCTCGCAAATCTTTATGGGATCAAGAATTCCATATGGTTGCCGCGAGGATTTCGAGATCTATAAACGTACGGTCCCTCAAGCTAGTGAATCGGTTTCCTTACCTTGATATCTGTGTCATCACTGGCGTTCACCTCACTGAGGTAGTTACTTCGCGTTTTAGTAAGGCCCGTGTGTCATTCTTGAGGCTCGACCATCTATGATGACAGCAGGAAATCAAGTTGTCAGTGAAAAGTAGGTTGTACTACCCTGTGATAAGTCCGGTGTCACTGTATGCATTAGAGACATGAGCAGGTCGCGGAGAATAAATTAAACGCTTGGCCGTGTTTGACAACTGGTGCTGCGGAGTATTGCCTGAGTCTTGTGGGAATACCGGGTGATCAATGTTGAGGTTCGTCAGTTAGATTTTGGTAAGAAACATTCTGCTGCCTCAATTGAGTGTTTGTTAAGTCCTAATCTCTTACGCTGGCTAGGTCATGTCCTCTGTATGTCCGTTGACCGACCTCTTCGGCGTTCATCGTACGTCGTGGCTATACCAAGTTGGGCGAAGCCGAGATGGCCAGTCCATGACATGGCATGGAAGCTTGAAGAAATTGTATGCAAGATTTGGTTAGGCTGGTGCATGCTGCTTTCTTAAATGTGGGCTTCCGGAAGATCCACCTCAGTGGTTGGCAACTCCATAGAACGTGGCACAGTCGTGCAGTCGGTGGCGCTCCCACACTAATTTTCCTGCATGTAGCCGTTAATTTCCAAACAGTCCCAATTATTTTTGCGCAATTCTTTCTTAACTAACTTTTTTGTATACTGTCTCCATTCAGTCTCAGTCTGTTACTATGGTTATTTGTTAGTAACCTGATGATAATAGGTATATTCCTTTCCAAGTGAGAAGCTGCGTCCATATTTTGCATAGATTACATATGTGCGGATAATACCATACTTTTTCATGGGCAACATAAAATTGTGGCGAATAAAAATAAAAACAGCGGTACATTCCTATACGCTGCGAGGCACTGTACAACCTGATGGTGCGATTCTTGATTTACAGCGGAATCGCAAGGAGCAGAATTTTTTCGAATTTTCCAGAGCAGTTCTCAAACTCATGTTTTGCAGATAAGGCTGAGTGGTCTGCTGAATCCTTCTGGAAGATTAAGAGTTTGTTAAGAAATAATAATTGTCGATAAATCCAAATATTTAAATGAAATAATGCGACCATCCATTGAAGCATCTCCTGGGGAACCGCTTCCTTGCGGGCTATTCTCTCGATGGTTTTCACCCACTATTCCATGGCCCATCTAGCCGTGTGTCAATATAGCTTCTAAAGCAGGTAGGCCATTGGCTAGGTAACTCATCTTTATGGCTAATTTGTGTAGATAGTGTGGACATACAAGCCAATTAGCCCGTACCATTAATCGCTTTCTTGATTTTCGGCAAAAGAATCTACTGCATTTCGGGATCGGGATCGTGACTGACTTACCAGACTGAACTAAACGCAATATCTTGATTTCAGAGATCCAATTCATAATTTCTGGTGCACATTTTGTGCAGCGATTACACCAGATGAGCAGATATGTTCGTTGTCTAGTGGGTTCTAAGAGATCCGCAGTCTCCTACCTTGCCCAATGGAGAGCTTGATATGCAGCAACCGCCACCCATCTAGGGAGTTTCTTTTTATGAAGTTATCGTATAAAAAATTGTGCGGACAGTTGGTAATAAACCGGTGAAGGGCTCTACAAGAACTGCGCGGAATGGTGGGCTAATTGATAACTTGCCCTTCTTGCTACTAGCAACACAGGGTCAATTTCGGCAGAAAGAATTGCGATTCTCTCCGTCTAACCCACCTGTCTATTTCAAGTACTTTTATTTTCACCATGAAAAAAGCATTGTTTGCAGTGGAACGCTAAAATGTGTATGGTCGCAAATACGCTTCGTACCATATCACACCAACAAGACGTGCTTTTGAGTGACGTTAGTGTCTAAAGCATCCGAAAACAGAAATGCTTGCCGTCTGTTTTCCTATATTAAGTGAGTACCTCTAAGACGGTCACGAAAAAATCCCCAAGTATAATAGAAACACCATATCTTTGTAATATGCTCAGCTTTGTGCAAGCCACGTACTTGGTTACCAAAGTTATCAACGATTGTTTAGCGTTCGATTTAGGATCCAGTATTGTACACGCAGCATGCATCACAAATGGGATTACATACCACAACAACCTTTGCAGATCCTTTTCACCTATATCGTATCACATTGCTCCACTTTACCTGGACCTCTGATACTGAGACCATGGCTTTTGCAATGTTCTCGTGCAACCACAACGTGAAGATTTCAATCCAGTTGCATCAACTAACCGGAATCGGTAGGTTTGGTATCGGTCGTTGAGGAATAGTAAATGGTATGCGCGTATTTGGAAAATGAATATGCCAACAACCTTAGCCAGCCAAAAGTAATTGAAGTAGTTACTGATTGATGCATCGGGCTACAAACCATACTAGTGTGAACGGATTGTGTCCCAACCATCGGATTTGCCATCTACTGGTTAGGATTGCTGGTCACCGGACCGGGGCAAATTACTTCTATGATATGTGAACAGGTCCGAGTTTCTTGCATTTCTTGAATGCGGCATAGTGATGATCAGACCGTCTTCCGACGGAAAGACATAAACGGGCGCTAACTTGTGGCGGTGATATAAATTCATGCTGTGTGCTTGAGAAGATAAGAAATGCATTTACCATTTGATCTACGCTGTGACGTATGACAGCCTGTCTGTTGAGAATAAGCTTCCAAGATTTCTCATTTTCAAACTTACTTGAGTCCTGTGTGATAACTATGCTGTTCGATCCCTGTTCTACTTTACAGTTGCGAACCTTGCGTACAAGAAATCTGCATGGATTACTCCGGATGGTTCCAATCACCAGAAACGAAGCTCGCCGCTCACGTCACTTTCACACGGCTATCATGACGACGATGCCAGCTCACATTCGCGTGGTTTGACCAACATACCCGAGTATGCATCCGACCATCAAGTCGCGAGGCCACCCATGTTAGCTAACCACCGCATCGGGGACAGCCAAACTATTCCACCATCATCCTCCCTAAAAAGGCTGCCATTGTGGTCCATGGGACCACACGGGCATGCAGGACAGTTGTTAGCAGACACAGGTGACCCGATGGCTTCCTTAGCTGTTGATGGCTGGACAGGAGAGGAAACAATTATTCGGAATTCTACACTTAGAGTTCGGTCATCCGAAAGACTTATGAGTGACGATCCAACGCCAAAGGTAGCCCAAGAATATCATTCGCCAAGCGGCAACAAAATATTCACGCGCCATTCTTGCACAGTCCTAGAATACCGGTGGCCGTTTGTGGAGCTACCGTCGTGGTACGTTGACCTACGAGAACAGGTGGAAGTCAACGGGGTCGTAATACACACAGCCAGCCATGGACGAGGTAAGCTTTTCGTAAAAGACATCATGATTTTGTGCAGATTGATACCTAGATCCGTGGTTAAAACCTACAATTGTGTATATTTCATTTCTTGTAAAGCACATTCACTAGATATTGTCAAGGAAGTATGTATCGCATTGCATTTAAATCAGCACCCTTGCCACCGAACTACCGTACAGTGATTAGTCACGTACCTATTGAAATCAAGATATGTTAAACGTAGAAAGCTTTTGGAGAGTCAAGTTTGGACTACATGTTGTATGATTGGATTGCGACGCGCAATCTCAATGTAATGGACCGTGGTACACATTGAAGTGAACCTTAGTCACTACGACCACGGGGACCGTACTCAAAGCAGATGGAAATTGGGTGTTGCCCACCCGAAAACACTGTGCAGTGTTTTCGGGTGGGCAAAACCCAATTTCCATCTGTAGAAAGCTTTTGTTACTCATTCACAGACCATTTGGATTAACGCTTTGACTGACTTCTGAAGACTTCGCTGAGACACACCATCATAATTTATGCGTCGTTTACATGATTTTATACAAGAACTTTGTGCATAAATCCACTTCATTTAATATGTCCCGATTGAACCATTCTGCCATCTGCCCAGTGCCTCATGCTGAGCTTGATGTTGCATTCATGACGCTTCTTCACCGCAGCTGCGCCAAACCAACTTACACTTAATCTAGGTCTTTTTAATCTAGATAAATTCCTTCCTTTTAGTTGGTTTGTTCAATTATGTTACTCTGCTGCCTAGTCTGTGTCAATTTTGCGTGTTTGCTTTCCCTTAACTTCTATGTTGGTTGTTTGATATCCCCGGTTTGGCTGCGCTTGATGGTTGACAAGGTGCCTACCTGTCTAACACCCTCCAGCGCGATTACTGGCTCCAGGAGACTGTGAATCGTTGCTGGGAGGGAAGGGTGCACAGTCCTCCTAGCCGTGCCGGCTCAAAGAGTGGTTCCATCCAACTTGGAACGGACTACAGCACAACCACCGCCTTGTGTACGTCTGGTATGCGTGATTCCATAGATAGATAGACAGGAATTCTGCTGCTGTGCTTGTTGAAGGAGTGTGGGCCGGCTTCGTTGATGAAACGTGGCTTCCATCCACATACCTCCCGGTATTATTCCTTCGGGTTTACACTGGATATGGGGTGTGTGGATGGAGCTGTGGCTGGTTCAGCGCAATCCATCCATGGTCCCTCTGTAGGCGCAGGCGTCCTGTGGAGGTTACAGTGACAGGTAAATCCGGAACCGGACGCTGCCAACCATGCCATTTGCACAGGTGCGTTAATTGTTCACAAACTGTGATCGTCTTTGCGTGCACATAACTATATATATGCATTAGTAATCGTTCAAATAATAGATTTAGTGTCGTCAAAATTTGTAGAAAGCAAAGGTGGTGTTGGTTCGATCTCTGTGAAAAGGAAAATAAACACGATTTTTTCGCCCACTGCGACTTGCATTTTGCCTTTTTCAAGGTGTACAGTCTTGAGCACATGATATTAAACAAGTATGTTTGCAAATCTTCCATTGATTTCGTTTAAGCACCATATCTTCAGGCGCTTTGAGCCAATGGTATTCCTGGTCTTTAAGTCTCTAACCAAGTAGACGCATTAACCTAACGGTAGTCGAATTACATTAAGCTGGTTCGTGTGCTTCGATTAAGTAGGAGTTTGGGCCCCAGTCGGGTTCTTCCAGCCCGGTTTCAAACGATCACATTATATTCGCTAGATCTCTGATTACACTGATGACAACCGTTTGACGAAAGCCATGCAGCTATACGTAGGCAGCTCCGGAAAAATTTATCTGAGCCGGTAGCTTTGAGTCGCTTTAGCTATCCGATCCGAAGTTAGGCTTTATTTTGTTTTGTGAAACATGCGTGATGACTGAAAGCAGGTAATTAGGTATAATGGACACGGAAGCTGACAGATAGAAAGGGCGGTGTCAAACATGTTGACAGGTTAGTGATTGGTGATCCACACTCTTAATGAGCGACCTTGCTGACATCCGTTATTTTATGACCGGTGAACGGAGTATTTTGAAACGGTTTGCTATTAGTATCAGGGACAGCAGCAGTCTCTGTCCTCAAAGAACGCTAAGCCAAATAATCTTAGCGGTCGCTGAGCAGAATGTGTTTGAAAAGCCGACTGACATTGTGGCGCACTCCATGGTGACCCAGTTCGAGGTAGTGAACGAAGATCTAGCTCTTCTGACAATACAGAGTAAGATTGTGGATTGAATACATGGGAGTGTTCATCCCCCTGCACGGAAGTGCGATATTTTGTCTTGAACCACGGCTATGTGCATCTAGTAATAAAGCTTGATAGATCAGCTTAATAGCGGGATCATCTAGCCTTTCCTTACAATTCTTATGGAGTCTCGTTTTCCAAGCGTGCCGAAACATACAGATGCTCGCACAGATGAGCGGGTGACTTGAGTCAAGGAAGGTGGACCAGAATGGACCGCAATCCCCTACAATATCTGGTCATCTGAATTGTATTGCGATACGTTTGGGACCACGCTTGTGTTCTAGAATTAGGCAACAGGATAACTAACGTCTCCACATTATGTATGAAGCTTGCGCCAGAGAGAAGGAGGTATTTTTCTTCCCCGTTGTCTGAGCGTCTATCGTTGAGGGCGTGATGATCCCCATATTGACGTTGGCTTGGCAACAGTCGACCACCTAGTATATTAAAAGTCTCAGCAACGACATCGATATCGTGTGTGTCATATTTGTTCAAAGGTTAATACATTACACGATAAGATCCGTCTTTCGCTAAAGCACAGCTTAATTCGGTTGAAGCATTCGAGGTTACAAACAGGCTAACTTTCCCTTAGTGTGATCTGTCAATTCTGTATGCGCGCCGAAGCCGAACTGCACACATTAAGCCGTTAATCGAAAATCAGTTCCGCAGTGCCGCCTCGGCTTTACTCTTAATATTACACTAACATCAGCCGGAGCTTTTGCGGTTGGTTCCGCACCACACAATAATGGGGTCCTGCAAGCGGTTTTCGGAACGATACTAAACGTTGACATTGATGAATGCCAAGTAAGTATTAAACTGACAGGTTGCCTTATCTGCACAAGCGTTTTAAGGAGGTAATGTAACTGATAAAATGTCCTTGTCCCGCATTGTCCAGAATAACTGGTTATTTGTTTGTTTGTTAACTCATGGTCCAGTTCTATAAAACAGATGATCTTGGGCTTGGTACGATTTCTACAACTCTTTTTCGAAAGTCACCTGAAGTGGATGGCCGCTTGAAGCCAATAAAAATTTGACAATTGGACACAGGGGTCAATGTTTACCTACAAAGTCCCTTTCAGGTATCCTTGATCATTCAGGTTTTGTTGATTCAATTGATTCCACCATACAAGTTGGCATAGTCCTTACTAAAGTCCGTTGAGTGCGAACAGCCCAGGCGTGATCGAAAATAACAAAAAGAGCAACATGTTGCACTTTTCGATCACATCGATCAATCTTGTGGCGGGATGGTATTCATGTGTGTTCCAATCGAAAACATTGAATAAAATCGAAGTTTGACCAAAGACTCGAGAAAATTAGCTTAAGTGCCTCCAGTTACATCTCTGTGTGAGAAAATAATGTAAAGTAAGATAAAACTGGCAGCAGATTGTTGTAGATTGCTGTGAAAGCATACTGCACCAAGCCGTAGTGACCCCATTTATCTCTGCAATGATAAGAGCATCATAAAGGTAGACCGCATTGTCATAGTGTTGACTGGCGGAGCCGCTGACGTTCTACTCGTTTCACTGTAACACACTGGCAAAAGCTTAACGTTTCACCTCACCATGTCGCGCTACTAGTGCCCAGTTGCAGTAGCTCATAGCGCAATCAACTGGACATAGGCGACTAACACGGATGCCCTAATAGAAAGATAAATTGATCTCGGTAGTGCGGTTGAAACTACAGTGGTGGCTCATAGAGAATCGGATTTGCTAGTTGATACTTTTATGAGTCTCTCAACAACAATAGCACCATGGATAAACCAAACCATGGAACACGGCGTACCCGAACCGCACAACGAAACAATGGTATAATACAGGTAAAAATAAGCCAAGGTTTAACAATTTCTGTGGTATAATCCATTTGAAATAAGTTAGTTCATACAGAAATGTAGCAGAAAACTAAAATGCGCATCTGTGGACTCACCAGAATATCCACACTAACACATAACTTTGTTCACATACCTCTATTTCTTGGGACCTGGTGAACACCAGATTTGTCTGCGTCTTGTCATCATTTGATGAGCGAAATTTATTTCAAGGAATGCAGACATTAGAACGCATCATCGAGTCACCACAAAAATCGCTAAGGTGGACGCAGTGATGATAAAAGTCAGAAGAGCATTCCACGGCTAAAAAGTTTGAGGAAAAACATTCCGGCGGCATTACACTGGTTGTATTGGGTGACCAAGTTCTAATGCTGGCCCCAGTGTTTTGTTCTGCGTCTGTTTCAGAACGTGGCGCCAAACATGAATGGGGTTACTTAAAACCGGAAAAGTCAGGATAAGGTCACTTCGTAGAAGACGATAACTTCCGCTGTACTTTCCTGCGACTTTCAGACTCAGTTGGTATGTCAGATGGAACAAGTAGATAAAGCAAAACACTTGACGCTTTTAGTTGCCTTCACTGTGAGGTCACCAGTGCAACAAGACGGCGTCTTGACCCGGGTTACCAGACTTGAATCGTGTGCTCTACACGATGACTCGCATACACACCGAGCATCTGCGGGAAGGCGGGTGGATCTAAGCGCGGGAACGTTGGCTGTAAGAGACCAGCATGTCGGACCGCGTGTTTTAACCCCTTCAAGGATTGCGCCGATGAGCCGAGGTCATCTTGCGTCATCACACCATGCCAGCGTTCCTGTGAGCCTGCTTGCAAAAGGTGGTCTCCCAGCCCAGGTTTTATTTGGTTTGTGCTGCATATGTATTATTTTTAAACTTTTCTGCGTAGAACAGAAATATATTAGTATTTGTCTA